TCAGCCCACCAGGGGGCGGGGCTGGCTGGCATGTGGTGCTGGGGGATTGAACCGTGGTCCCTGTACTTTGCTAAGCTTGTTCTAAGTAGGTGCTTTAGACCACTGAGCCATCTCACCAGCCCTCAAACATTTTAAGGAGTGTATCCAAAATGTTATTTTGGGGCCTGCCGGTTAGATCAGTTATTTAAGTGCCTGCTTATGCAAACACAGTCAGGCATAGGATACCGTGGTTTTGATGCCCAGACCCACCCTTAAGGCAGCCTGAGCCAGCCCCTCACCAAAAAAAAATCCTTCAAAATGTTATTTTATTAGGTCATTTAGTGCAGAAGTGGAGATGCACAGCCACACTTACCAAACATCTGCTGTGTACCAAGTACTGTCCTGTGTGTGCAAAGGATATTTTCTTCTTCAGACTTTGAATGCAGCTTCCCTGTGGTCATGCTGGCCAAAGGAGAACCTTGACCGTGGCGATGTCTCCTCAATTTCTGAGTGACAGCTACAGCATGCAGCATGGTCAAGAGCAGCTGGGTATCCTGCACTTCAGGCCGTGCTGATTTGCAGTGTTAGTCCTGCTGGCTCTGTGCTCTTAATGATATGCCTCCCTGTCACACAGTTTTGTTTTTTTTTGTTTTTTTGTTTTTTGTTTTTAAACTCAGCTGTATTTATTACCTCTTAGCAGAATGTGACCTGGGCACGCACTCCCACTCACAGGCCCTGTTCCGAATAATTTTTGAAATAGCTCTGCGGTATCCCTAGAAGTTGTCTCTCCCTTGAAACAGTACTTTTCTTTGGAAAACAAGCCCGTGCAGCTCTTGGCGTCAAGTTTTCAGTATCACACAGTTTTTTTAAATATTTGTATGTGTGTATTTGTGTTTCTTCTTATGCAATTAATGCAGGCCTGGCACACACGCGTGCACACACACACACACACACACACACACACATTAGCAGCCCAGAAGACATACAGAGAATGAAGTTAAAATTACCTATCTTGGCCCAGCGTAGTGGTGCATACCTGTAATCCCAGTGCTGGGGAGGCTGAGAGAAAAGGATAACTAGGAGCCTAAGTTGCATAGTTACCCTGTACCAAATATATACATCAAAATATAATAACAAGATTTTATTTTAATTCATTTTGTCTTTTTGAGATAGGGTCTTTCTATGCAATTCAGGCTGTTCTTGAGTTCACTTTATAGTCCAGTCCAGTCTTGAACTCACAACAGTCCTTGGTTGGGGCTGGTGAGATGGCTCAGTGGTCTAAAGCACCTACTTAGAACAAGCTTAGCAAAGCACAGGGACCGCGGTTCAATCCCCCAGCACCACATGCCAGCCAGCCCCGCCCCCTGGTGGGCTGAGCTGGCCACACACACACACACACACACACACATAAATAAAGTTCTTAAAAAAAAACAACCAATCTTTGGTTGCTGGCATGGTGGTGCACCTGGGTTCCAGAGAACGAACCTGGGTCCTTGTGTTTGCTAGGCAGGTGCTTAGACTGCCAAGCTATCTTCCCAGCCCTGTAATCTTTTAACTTTCAAGAACTTCTGTACTTTCTTTAGTGGTGGATTAAATGAATAGAGTAGAATGCATTTAAAACTAAAGTGAACATGTTCCTTACAATGGATCTGAAGTTCAAAGTTACAACCTATGAACTTTGAACATTAACAAGTCCTAAACTGTCTTAGAAAATGTCCTGTTTTTGTCCTTAGAAGATAACAACAGTAGTAGAACAGAAAAAGAAAAAGAAAACAACATTTCAGTAGCAAATGTAATAGTAATTAGTACTGTTCTGGGAAGTAGGCTTTGGTTTTTTTTTTTTTTTTTTTTATACCAGGAATCAAACTTCAGACCGTGCACTTGTGAGGCAGGCTCTTATGCCACTGAGCTATATACCCAGCCCTTAGGCTCTGTTCTAAGCGGTAGAAATATACTTAGTTGACCTATAAAACATCCTCTGATGTAGGTACCATTTTATCCCCATTTTGTAGATTTAGATACTGAGGCACATGCAGTTTATTTATTTATTTTTTATTATTATTTTTTAGGTGGAACCAGGGATTGAACTCAGGCCCTTGTGCTTGCCAGGGAAGTGCTTATTCTACTGAGCCATCTCCCTGGCCCCAGCACATGCAGTTTAAATGACTTTCAAAGTCATAGTGCTGGTGGGAGAGGAAGGCAGGAAGTAAACCTGGAAAGTGTGACCACAGAGCTTGTTCTTAGTGGCTGTGCTGTATTCGCTTTAAGGAGATGGAGCCCTGAGTGAATCTAAAATAAGATCACTTTGTAACTGAGGTGATCACATCTTTTCTTTCTTTCTTTTTTTTTTTTTTTTTTTTCCTTCTTAGAAGTCTTGCTGGGATATGGCTCAGCAGTGCAGCACCTATCTGGCAAGCACAAGGTCCTGAGTTCCACTCTCGGTAAAAAAACAAAAACAAAACCAACAACACCCTCAATTCAAAACACAGGGCTGTGGAGCACAAAAGATGGGAGGCAGAAAAAAAGAAGTCTTTATCTTTGCTTATTTCATTTATTTATTTATTTATTTATTTAGTTTTTATGTATTTGGTACAGATTCTCACTATGCAGCTCAGACTCATAGTGGTCCTCCTGTTTCAGCCTCCCCAGCACTGGGGTTATAGGCGTGCACCATCATGCCCAGTACCAGGGATTGAATCTGAGCCCTAGTGCTTATCTTTGTTTTTTTTATTTTTATTCTTATTTTTTTAATCTTTGTTTTTTAATTGTTTGTTTAGTTTTCTTTTGAGATAGGGACTCACTATGTAGTGAAGTCTGGCCTTGAACTTGCTTATGTAGCCCAGGCTGACCTCAAACTCATGGCAATCTTCCTGCCTTAGCCTCTTGAGTGCTGGGATTACAGAACTGTAAAGTGGTGAAGTCCATTTTGCCAGTTGTGTAGTCGGGACCAGTCTAGTGTCTGGTAGTCATTAGATTGTGATCTTGCTGTATAACTCAAACTGCAAGTTTCCTGTAGAACTCATTACAAAACTACATACTGACCCATCATTAGTGACTCATGACAAATTTAAGGAGTGGGAAGTACAGCAGTCCCTCCCTATGTCGCAGTTCAACTTTCACAGATTCACTGTTTTGCGGGTTTTCAAAAAAATACTAATGTAAATTATTTATTGTGGACTTTTCACTGTATCATAGGATTTTGCTGTACCATACAGTATATGTATGTTGTTAAAATTACATAGGTTTGCTAGTTTCTTTTTTTCTTTTTCTCTTTTATGTATTTGGTACAGGGTCTCACTATGCAGCTCAGACTCGTAGTGATCCTCCTGTTTTCAGTCTCCCTAGTGTTGGACTTACACGTGTGTGCCACCATGCCCGGACTCAATTGCTGGCTCATTGCACCCTGGGAGCAGGGCCAGTGTGGCATGTGGGACTGGGGATCTAACCCTAGTCCCTGCACTTGCCAAAGCAGACACTTAGTCCACTGAGCTATCTCACCAGCCTGGTTTACTAGTTTAGAAAATGGTTAAGAACAGGTTTATAAGAGTGTGTAAAGGGTTTATAAAGTCTTAAAATATATATAAACACTAAATAAATATAACGCCACTACTTTGCTGATTTTCACTTATTGCTGGTGTGTCTGGAATATAACCTGCACAATAAGTGAGGGACCACTGTAATCACATAATTTTCTGTAGATCAACTGCTGTCTTTTTGACCCAGTGGATACCAAAGCCAAATGGTAAGTAGAGATTATTCCTTCCCTCCCAACAAATCACTTACTAAAAAGCAAACAGAGAATATATCAAAGTTGGAAATTCAGCCATTAAACTCTGGAGTTAAATTCAGATCTTAAAAGAGACTTTGGGGCTGGGGAGATGGCTCAGTGGAATAAGCGCTTCCCTGGCAAGCACAAGGGCCTGAGTTCAGTCCCCCGTTCTGCAAAATAAATAATTAATTAATTAATTAAAAATTAAAAATTAAAAAAAAAGAGACTTTAGGGGCCAGGGAGATAGCTCAGCAGCTTAAGTGCCTGCCTGGCAAGTACAAGGTACCAGGAAAAAAAAAAAGAAAAAAAAAGGAGGGACTTTTGACTAGAGGTAAAGGAAACAAACTATATGTTGTAGAAAGCTTAGACTAGGTTGGAAAAAAATGTAATCAGCTAGAGTATGTAACAGTAAGAACTTGATTAAGAGTCATACATAAAAGGGATATTGAGTGACTGGCCTTAGGTGACGGAAGCTCACATTTGGGTTTAAAGTTACCATTAGCATGAGAAAATGAGTCTTGCTGAAGTGCCGTCAGTGAATCCTTCAGAAAACCATCAAGCGAGAGCATTAAGATCCTAAGAGTAGAAAAATCAAAACTGAGCTTATTGTATAACAGGGGAGACCCTTATTGCCATGAATGAGTTCAGTAAGTCTCCTAACCAGTTCATTTCCAGTAGGCATTTTCTGTTTGTTTTATTTCTACTATAGAGGTGGGTTGTTTTTTGTTTTGTTTTGTTTTCCTAGCGAAAAAAATACGATTTGTGATTTTCTTGTTTTGTTTCAGATTTGGAGTCAACATATGAAACCAACAATGTATTTTCTGGAAAGGATGTTTTTGAAATGAATACTTCCCAATGGGAGATGAAAGGAAAAAAACCCTTGGCCTTGAGGCATTCATTTTGAGAAATAATTGGAAGTGCAAAAGCAAAGTTGAAGGATTACAGGAACATCAAAAGGGATACTTTGATCAAGTACTAATCAACTATGAAAAAATACCCACATACAACAAAAGTAACCCTCTTATCCCACACCAGGGAATTCATAAAAGAGAAAAAACCTTTGCTTGTTGTGAGGAATGTGAGAAAACATGTAGCCACAGCTTAAAACTTGGCCAACGTGAGAGAACTCGTACAGCTGAAAAATATTTTGAATGTAAAGAATGTGGGAAGAATTTTTTTAGTGCTTATCAATTTACTGTTCATCAGAGATTTCATACTGGTGAGAAACCCTATAAATGCAGCGAATGTGGGAAGACTTTTAGCTGGAGCACCAGCCTGGTTAAACATGAGAGAATCCATACTGGTGAGAAACCCTATGCATGCAAAGCATGCGGGAAGGCCTTTAGTCATGGTTATCACCTTACTCAACATCAGAAAATTCATATTGATGTGAAATCTTATGAATGTGAGGAATGTGGGAAGGCCTTCTTTTGGAGCCCAAGCCTTGCTAAACATGAGAGAGTTCATACAGCTGAGAAACTTTATCAATGTAAAGAATGTGGGAAGGCTTTCAGTCATGGTTATCACCTAACTCAGCATCAGAAAATCCATACTGGTAAGAAACCTTATGAGTGTAAGGTATGTGGTCAAGCTTTCTCTTGGGGCTATCAACTTACTTATCATCAAATATTCCATACTGGTGAGAAACGCTAAAAATGTAAGGACTATAGGAAGGGTTTTAACTGTGGATCAAGTCTTGTCCAACATGAAAGAATCCATACTGGCAAGAAACCTGATGAATACAAAGAATGTGGGAAGGCCTTTAGCTGTGTCTATTACCTCACTTAACACCAGAAAATCTATTCTGGTGAGACTGTCTATGAATGTAAGGAATGTGGGAAGGCCTTTAGTTGGGGTTCAAGTCTTGTTAAACACGGAAGAGTCCACACTGTGGAAAAATCCAATGGATGCAAAGAACATGGAAAGGTTTTAAGCCATGGCTATCACCTTACTCAACATAAGAAAATTCACACTGGTAAGAAAACTTTTAAATGTAAAGAATGTGGGAAGGCCTTTAGTTGGGGTTCAAGCTTGTTAAATATGAAAGAGTCTATGCTTACAAAAAATCCTATCACTGTGAACCATATGAGAAGACCGTCGATAGTGTCTATCATCTAAATGTTCATCAGATTTCTTTCTTTCTTTCTTTTTTTTTTTTTTTTTTTTGTGGAACCGAAGATTGAACTCAGGCCCTTGCGCTTGGCAGGGAAGCACTTATTCCACTGAGCCATCTCCCCAGCCCCCTTCATCAGAGATTTCATACTGGTGAGAAAGGTCACCAGTGTGAGGAGTTTGGGAACATCTTTACTAATGGCTCAACTTTGATCATCTGGAGAGAACTAATAGTAATAAACCCTCTGGATATAAAGAATATGGGAAAGCCCTTATATGGACAACTTTCTCAAGTGAGAAAATTTATGCTGATGAAATGTGATGAAGAGATGAACATCTTTATGTATGGACAACTTAACATGAGATGATATCCTGCTCTTGAGAAAGCCTATAAATGTAAGGAATGTGCAATGTATAGTCTTCACTGTGTATGGATGATAGCAATATATACTAGGGAGAAGTATTTGAATATAAGGAATATGAAAAGGCATTTATACTTCTGTATGATTTTTATCAAATTTTATCCATTTACATATAAGGAATAGCTAAAGATCCTTACCCTGGCATAAGGTTTGATGAACACCAGGGAATTTATAATTTTTAGAAAATAAGAAATATAAGAGATGGAGAGAGAGCTCAGCAGAATAAATGCCTGCCTGGCAAGCATAAGGTCCCAAGTTTGGTCCCCAATACCAGCAAAAAAAAAGAAAAAGAAAAAAGAAAGAAAGTAAGAAATATACTAAAAATGTGTGTAGGTGTGGTAAACATCTTAGAGTACATCAGAGAATTCATCTGAAGGAAAAATTTTGAATCAGGAGAATAGAAAGGCTTTTAGACAGATACTGCTCCACTTACTTTCTACAGACTACTGCCAACTCACAAACTATTCACCCGTCCATTATAAGAGAAGTACACACAAATTTTTGGAAGCTTGTAGTACTTTGGTGGTATAACATTTTCATTTGATTTACAAGAATATCAGCCCATGAGTGATTAGAAATTGAAAACAAGAATATATGCAGTGTATTATTTGTTGAAACTGTACTTCCAATTTGATTTGAAACTCTCATTGCTATCTGTTTATCAATAAAACTTTGAAAAAAAAAAAAGAAATTGAAAACAAAAAGTTTGTCCCATTTTAAAGATACCATTCACACTTTCTACAACATGAGGTCAAAAATAGGATTTAATCCAAAAGTAATCCTTTGTTCTCTCTCTGATGAGACTAGCAGAAAATTCATAGTATACAAAGATATGGAAAATGGGAATCACAATTTTCTCACGTCCATGATAGCATAAGAGAATTACATCAGTTGTTAATGTACAGAGGCCTACCAACACCATTCAATCTTTATTAGACTTAGCAGATTTGTCCTAGACAACCATCCTATTAATGTAACAATTGCAGGAAAGTGTAGGGATCTGTTGGTCTCTCAGTGTGATCCATTGTATCTAGGGAAAAACTGTGGTAGGAATGAGGAAAATATAGACAATAAGACAACAGCTGGATTAGGTGGTGGCTCACCTGTCTGGTTGGTGAGATGACTCCCTGAACAATAATAAGAACCTTTATTTATACTTTTACAGTTTCAAGATACAAGGTTGCTTAGTGACCAAAAGCCCACAATATCCAGGCAGGATGTTGTTCTCAAGACTGAGGTAGCTTGACTGCTTTAGGCAATGAGGCCTCATCCTGCCTTCCCACATAGGATCAATTTTAGCTTCAGCGGCTCCCAACAGGAAAATTCTTATACATGGCACAAATCATACTTGTTGCCAGTGCCCCTTCTCATTACTGGCTTATCCTCTTTTATGTTTAAACTAAGTCCTGATGATGTTAACTATATTTTTAGAGCTGCTATAGAGATCAGATGGATTTAGTATGTACCAGATCCACTAAAGAGTGTCAATATCTGGTATAGAATTTTTTTTTTTTTTTTTTTTTTTTTTTTTTTAGGGTACAGGGACTTGCTACGCAGCTGAGTCTCATACAGCTTGTTATGGTTTGTATCTAGTTGTCCCCCCAAAGCTGCATGGCTCAAGGGGCGGGGCCAGAGGACCAGGGTGGGGCTTGAGGGGCAAGGCCAGAGAGGCGCAAACCCTTAAACAGCATGCACCTCCCCCCTCCCCCCAGGCCTGGTGGCCTCTCTTGGAAGTATGGAGAGGGTCATCCTGGACACAGTGGCACCCCAGCCTCTCTTCCAGACCCTGTAGCATAGGATGGCAGTATCTCGAGGTCTTTGTATATAATTCAGGCTGCTTTAAACTATGAAACCTCCAGTAACTGTGAGCTAAATAAACCTTTCCTTTCCTAAGCCTGAGAGTCGAGTATTTGTCCCAGCAATGAGAGAAGAGTAACTAAGACAGAATTTGGTACCAGAGGAGTGGAGTTGTTGCTGTGGCTATACCTGATGATGTGGATTACAAGCTTTTGGGAATGGCATATGGGAAAAGATAGGAAAGATTTGGAGATGTTACCTACAAGTGAAGTACTGTAACAGCTTTGGCTGTTCTAAAAAAGATACTGGTCAGAGCTCAGACCAGAAGACATAGAAAACCTGCCCATAAAGACCAGGCTGGAGAGGTTTCTGCTGAGAAGAAGGACTGCATTGGTTATTGGACTCCAGATCATTTGTTTTGTTTTGGTAGAAAATTTGTCTGAATTTTGCCTATATTGAGAGACTTTGCCTGAGACTGAGATTAAACATGGAGGACTGATTAATCTTTCAAAGGAAATCTGAAGGTAGTAAAATATTGAGGCTGTGGCATGGTTATTGTTGGGGCTCTTAGATTTATGTTGAGAATAAAGAGCAAAGAGCCCAGCAGAATGATATAAAATGTGAGTTTGTCCAGAAAGGAAGTACCAGGAAGGCTGTGGACTGCAAAGATAGAGATCTCCATTGCCCAAGAGGCACAGGAGATCTCCATTGCCCCAGAGGAACAGGAGAATAGAAAAGATGTCCTGAGGGCATCACAGGAGATGGCAGATGCTCACCCTTTGCAGCCTCAGAATTACAAGGGTGAGAGACTTTACTTTGAGGAGAAAGCCTCAGAACCCTATGTTCCAAAATGGAGGCAGCAGCCACTCCAGGTTTCAGAATGGAGGAAGCAGCCACACCAGATTACAGAATGGCAGCAGCATACGGAATTTCTTCCTTGGAATCATGATTAGAGTGCTCAGCGATCCAGGCACTTGTCCCCCTACAGCCAAGAGAAAGGAAAGCCTGCCTACTGCTCCAGCTGGCCACAGATCTTGGCATCATCCATGTGGTGCTGGTTTTAGGCACATGCAGAATGCAGGAGTTCGGAGGTTAGGAAGGCTTCCACCTCAATTTCAAAAGAAGGCCTGGGAGGTCAGGCAGTGTGCCCCTGAGAGGGCAGTGTGTGAAGTTGTGAGTGAAAAGCCTATTCCGTGGAAATACCAGAAGTTTGGAAAAGCCCAGAATGTGGATTATCTAAGGGAAACTGCAGAGGGAGCAAAGCCAGCCTAACAGAGAAGCCATGGGAGCTTCCACCAAGTGTGCCACAGGGGCAGAGCCACATGGAGTTCACAATTTACCACAGATTACTTCAAATGTTCCACAAGGACCTGCAGGACTTAATGTTTGCCCTACTGGACTTTGGACTTGTATTGGCCCTAATGGTTTGTATCCTCCCATGTATACCTTTTGGAATGACAATGTTTATCTTGTGCCTTTGAATGTTGGATGTATTTAACTTTTCTTTTGTACAGGGCTTCACAGTTAAGAGTTTGCCTTGGATCTTGGAAGAGACTTGGGACTTAGACTTTTCAGCAATGCTGAAACTGTTGGGACTTTGGCAATTCTTAGAGATAGCCTAAAACGCCTTTTGCACAAAGGGATGTACATGAGACTTTGGGGGTCCAGGGGTGGAATGTTATGGCTTGTATCTAGTTGTCCCTTCAAAGCCTCATGTAAATCATGGGTAGTCATGATGGAAGAGCAGCGCGTGGCTCGAGAGGTGTGGGCAGAGGACCAGGGAGGGGCTTGAGGTGGGCCCAGACAGGCGCAAACCATTAAGCTGATAGCATGTGCCTCCTTGCCACCCCCAGGCCTGGTGGCCTCTCTTGGAGGTATAGAGCAGATCATCCTGGACACGGCAGCACCCTGCCTCTCTTCCAGACCCTGTAGAGCATGGGACGGCAGTATCTCAAGGTTTTGCTATGTAATTCAGGCTGCTTTAAACTATGAAACCTCCAGTAACTGTGAGGTAAATAAACCTTTCCTTCCCTAAGCTTGAGTGTTGGGTATTTGTCCCAGCAATGAGAGAAGAGTAACTAAGACAGTGATCCTCTTATCTCAGCTTCCTGAGCCCTGGGATTACAGGCATGGACCACCATGCCTGGTTTCAGTGGCTGGCAAGGCATGCCCAGGGTTCTGTGGCCAGCTCAGTATGAGGTACCAGGGATTGAACCTGCGTTCTGTGCTTGACAGGCAGGTGCTTAGACCACTGAGCTATCTCCCCAGCCCCTGGTATAGATCTTAGGATCAATACATATTAACTGTTGTTCTTCATCATTAACATTACTACTGTTCATGTCTTTTATTTATGTATTTAGTACAGGGTTTCTACATAGATCAGACTCGTAGTGATTCTCCTGTTTTCAGCCCCTCAAGCCCTGGGATTATAGGTGTGCACCACCATGCCCAGTCTCAGTTGCTGTCTCAGGGCACCCTGGGAGCAGCGCCAGGAGGGCATGCCAGGGATCAAACCCCGGCTGTTGTGCTCTTCCTAAGCAGGTGTTTTAGTCCACTGAGCTATCTGGCCATCCGCCTTGTTCATGTCTTAAGGGCAACCTTTGGTGTAAGGAATTTAGAAAACCCTCCCATAACCGTTCACCCATTTTGGGAAAATAGGTAAAAAGAAATTTGACAGTTTTTATTTTTTTATTTTTAAGATTTGAGTTGCAAGGGCTGGGGAGATGGCTCAGTAGAATTAGCGCTTGCCAGGCTAAGCACAAGGGCCTGAGTTCAATCCCCAGTTCTGGGGAAAAAAAAAA